CAGATCAAAAAAAAAAAAAGCTCAATTAATAGCCAATTCAGAGAGAAAAATGCAGATAGCCATAAATTTAACAAAAGATGTGAACACTACTCATAATGAGGACATTGAAACAAGATAGTGTTTTTTATTTTGGGGGAGGAAAATTTTTCCTCACTCTTCAAGAATTTCCTGGCTGGTCTAAAAATTAAATTGATACAAGACAGATTAATAGGGGAAATCAAACTTAATGTCATACTTTCACAGAATCCACATAATCTCATAAACATGAGATTCCAAAGATAGACAAAATGAGGTATATATGTCATTCTGAACTAAGGGGGAAGGGGCTTGAGACTTCGAGACTCCGATGGGAAGGAAGGCAATTTACTGGAAGATAAAGGGTAAATGCTTGGTAAACAGATTTGCTGGGCCATATGGAAGCAACGGACAGAGGAATTTTCATAAACAGACCTTGCTGAATTCCTCCTTGTCTACTACCTAGTTCATAGTATGCTGTAGTTTGTTCGTTTTTTCTTTCTTTCTTTCTTTCTTTCTTTCTTTCTTTCTTTCTTTCTTTCTCTCTCTCTCTCTCTCTCTCTCTCTCTCTCTCTCTCTCTCTTTCTTTCTTTTCTTTCTTTCTTTCAAAGAGAGAAGCAGGGCGCACCTGAAGCAGGGCTCAAACTCAACGAATGGTGGGTGAGATCATGACCTGAAGTCAGATGCTTAACTGACTGAGCCACCCAGGTGCACTATGCTGTACTGGTCTATGGTGGTAGCTGCCTTCCTGGAACAAGTCCTCTATTAAATTCTCCCCTGCCCCCATCTAATTTTTTTTTAGGCAATTAGCAAGGAAGGCCAAAGTTTTTTGAGTCTTCTGGAACTTGATTGTTTTCAGATCAATGTAATTCTCACACCAAAGTGGCATATCTTGGGGCCATTTGTTATGAACCTTTACTTTATCTTTAAATTGCAGGTTCAGGTTGGAAATGTGAGCAGTCTCAGATATTACTGATGAGACATGAATTGCTACAGTCTTTGAAGTGTGGTTTGACTCTAACTCTTGAAACTAAAACTTGATTCCATTTCTAGGTCAGGAGTCTTTCCTGTATAAATAATGGCATGTGTGCAATGAGGAGGCATAGCAATGTTTATTGAGTCAGCATTTGTAATAGCAAGAAAACATATAACAGGAAACAAAAAATTGTCCCTAACAAGTTCAGTGTGGGAAGCTTACCAATTTTGATCTAGAATTCTTACTATAAAATATTAAATAGTGGTTAAGAAGTGGGTTGGGATTTTATGTATAATTAATAGGGAAAGATCTCCATGGCTTACTGTTAGTTGGAAAGAAACATCACAGAACAATATGTATAATCTTTTATTTAATAAAGCTGTTTTTTGTATATACTATATACATGGTACCATACGTGTGTGTGTGTGTGTGTGTGTGTGTGTGTGTGTGTGTGTCTGTGTGTCTGTGTGTGTGTATTGTGACTAAGTATGGGGATGAGGACACACACACCTGAACTAATAAAAATACCCACCAAATTGTTAACTCTCTTGAGGAGAGGAGTGACATTTTGGGTCAGGAGTGAAGGAAGTTTCTCACTTTTATTCTGTATGTTTATGCTTTTCAAGAAAAATGACAAGTATAATTTTTAAAAATTCTGATGCTAGATTTCAAAATTCATTAGGTTAAGTAAAGGTGAAGTGGTATGCTATGAGCACTGTGTCTTTAAAAATGATTCAGAGAGGGGCGCCTGGGTGGCTCAGTCGGTTCAGCATCCAACTTCACCTCAGGCCATGATCTCACAGTCCGTGGGTTCGAGCCCTGAGTCGGGCTCTGTACTGACAGCTCAGAGCCTGGAGCCTGCTTCGGATTCTGTGTCTCCCTCTCTGTCTGCCCCTGCCCTGCTCATGCTGTCTCTGTCTCAAAAATAAATAAAAACATTAAAAAATTAAAAAAAAAAAATGATTCAGAGAAAATTGTTTGTTTCTCTATGCCCAAAGTACATTTCCACATTGGACTTTGATTTGCAGGCTCAGGGAACACTTCATGACAGCCCCTCTTTACCCAACTTTATTATTATTATTTTTTAGAAGTTTGTTTATAAAGTAATCTCTGCATTCAACATGGGGCTCAAACCCACAGTCCCAAGATCAAGAGTCAAATCTCTTCCGCCTGAGCCAGCCAGGGACCCCTCTCTTTACCCAGTTTTAACAGATGACTTTTTTCTGTTTTTTCCTCAGATTCCTTTTTACGAAGATATCTGTAAAGGCATTAAAGCTGGTGACACCTGTGAGAAACTAGTGGGGTATTCTGCCGTGTATAGAGTCTGTTTTGGAATGGCCTGTTTCTTCTTCATCTTCTGCCTTCTGACCTTGAAAATCAACAGCAGCAAAGGTTGTAGAGCGCATATTCACAACGGGTGAGTCTTCAGTCTTGGGGGGTTGGTTTCTCCCTTTTTATTTTGAATAGTTATTTATTTTGAGAGAGAGGGAGTGTGAGCAGGGGAGGGGTAGAGAGAGAGGGAGTGAATCCCAAGCAGGCTTGGCACTGTTAGTGTGCGGGGCTCTAACTCACAAAGCATCAATCCGATCACGACCTGAGCCAAAATGAGGAATCAGACGCTTAACCGACTGAGCCACCCAGGCGCCCCTAGTTTCTCCTTTCCTGATATTCAGAATAGTGTTCCTTGACCTCTTCTAATCCGACCATCTGACTGCTCTTCCTGTAGTTGAAATTGTTGACACTTGTTTTCGGGAAGGGGGGATTTGTCACCCCTCAGTGGCCCAAGAATTAGAATTCTATTGGTCATGCCAGTACCACAGTGAGAGATGCAGCAGAGATAGGCGTTTTTATTTCTAGTACTAAGACCTACCCCTAGGTCATTTCCACCCCCCTGCAACAAAGTGGTGTTTTGCACAATCAGCGACTATGCTGAATTGGTCTTAATTATGGGACAAGGCAGTCTCCAGTCACTTAATTACTTCCTCTCAATTTGGAAGGAACAGTACCAATGGTAGAAACATGGACTGACATGCTTACCTTCTCTCTCTCTTTTTTTTTTTTTTTTGAGAGAGAGAGACAGAGCATGACTGGGGGAGGGGCAGAGAGTGAGGGACACAGAATCCGAAGCAGGCTCCAGGCCTGAGCTGTCAGCACAGAGCCCGATGCGGGGCTCGAACCTATGAACCATGAGATCATGACCTGAGCTGAAGTCGGACGCCTAACCGACTGAGCCACCCAGGTGCCCCCTGACATGCTTACCTTATAAAAGGTCTTTTGTCCTTCCATGAATATCATTTTAATACATTTCCTCTTTTTTTTTTTCTTTCCAGCTTTTGGTTCTTTAAACTTCTGCTGTTGGGGGCCATGTGCTCAGGAGCTTTCTTCATTCCAGATCAGGAGACCTTTCTGAATGGTACAAATGGGGTATTTGGGGTACCTATTTATTTTGTTCTTACCCATTTTGTAAAATTGTTCAAAAGTGTAGTCCAGGGTGCCTTTGATATTTCGAATTAGTGATTTTCTTGTGGTTTAATAAAAAAAAAAAAAAAAATTCCTGCCTTACCTGCTCACACTGTATCCACCTTCCCCACTCCCTATCCCTTCCTGTTCACTCCTCTTTCTCCATCTACATCTTTCCCCTATTCCCTCCCTTTCTGGCCAGGTGTTACTCTACAGCCTGGAGAATTCAATTGATAATTTTAAGGTGATTGGCCTGAAGGGAAAATGGGGCCCTGCAAGTCTGTCTGAAAACCAGTTTAGCATGTCAGCATGGCACCATCACTGAAGGGGTTCTGGGACGCCTTGTTCTTTCTGAGCACTGCCCGGAAATCTGCCTACGCGGAACACGAGGCTACTGAGTTTTAAATCAGCTGCAGCTATAATGAGATAAGAAAGGCATCATCCAGCCTTATTTCTAAACTTACCTATGTGAAACTGTATATAATATTGGATTTCATTTCTTATTCCTAGAATTTCCCAAACTTAATTTAATTTGGAACCGTTAATCATAGCTGAAACAGGGGCCCTTCTACATGAAAACTAGGGAGATTCAAAACATTGTTTAACCCAAACGAATTCATTTTCCTAATTAAGGTAGTAAAAACATTCACACTGTGTCAGTCCCTAAGGAACAGCCTATGGCCCCTCAAATGGTCACTAGGGTCTGGCTAGTTTTTAGGGGCATAACAAGCTACATGCACTCCTGAAGGAGGTCCTCTTGGAGTCTTATTTTTTCCTAAAATGCTGTTAACTAGTTTTCTGTTCCCCACAGATGTACTTTTATGTGTTAGAAAGATAGATTTAGAATGGGATGGGGCCAACAGTTCTTTTTATAGACAACTGCAGTTCAGCCATTTTCATAGACAACCTGTAACCTAGAGACATGGCACAGAAGGTTAGAGCTTCCTTGTAGCAGAGTGAGGAGTGGATCTGAGTCCGTGGCCCCCAGTCTGACCCTCATTTCCCTACTAATCTCTGGTGGCTCACTGCCTTTTTTCTTCTTAAGATGTGTTTTTACTTACAAATCGTGGGTCGTTGTTGATTTTGTGAATAGCTGCGTCTTTTAGGGTAGCTGTCAGTTACAGTGTGTAGATTCAGCTTAGATGCTCAAGAGCCACACACATTGCTTTGTGTTCACATCCCAGCTACGTCCTTTACTGGCCATGGGATTTTTTTTTTTTTTAACGTTTTATTTCTCTTTTGAGAGACAGAAAGAGACAGAGTGTGAGCTAGGGAGGGGCAGAGAGAGAGAGGGAGACACAGAATCCGAAGCAGCTTCCAGGCTCTGAGCTGTCAGCACAGAGCCCCATGCGGGGCTCACACCCACAAACTATGAGATCATGACCTGAGCCGAAGTCGGACACTTAACTGACTGAGCCCCGTGGTTGTGGGACTTTGTCAATTTGCATAGTCTCTCAATTTTTCTCATCTGTAAAGTGCGTATAACAATAGCACCCATCTTATACGGTTGCGTGGAAATTAAATGTGTTGCAGGTACAGTAAGAATGTAGTAAAGATAAACTGTAGTCATTATTCTCCTTTAAGCTCAGCACTTGGAGTGATCCCCTCACCTCCTTTTGGATGGTCTTCTTTTGCAGCCTGGCGCTATGTGGGAGCCGTCGGGGGCTTCATCTTTATAGGCATCCAGCTCATCCTGCTCGTGGAGTTTGCACATAAATGGAACAAGAACTGGTATGTGCATTTTGGGAAGGTTTCCAAGTGAACTCAGTCGTTGCTCGGGGAAACTGCCTTCAGTACGGTGTTGATAGAGGGTCTACCCCGAGCTGTGTTGGCAGGGGTGGGCAGCCTGCTCGTGCGAGAAACAGGTTGGCGCACTTTCCCTTCATTCCTCTGCTACCGGTTTTCCTCTCCTTTCTTCCTTTCCTTCTTCCATGTTATTTCTTTTTCACTTTTTGGCTTTTCCCTCTATTCTCCCATTTGGGCTCTGAGTCAGCTGCTGTTGTGACTTAGCCACACTCACATCCATTGCTGGCACCTCTTGGCCCTGGCTCCCCGGTTGTGACGCTAGGTGCCTGAAAACCTGGGCAGGTTTTATCTTATGCCTCCATCCTCAGGAGATTTAGAAAAAAGTACTTTGGGGGCACCTGGGTGGGTCAGTCAGTCTGACTCTTGGTTTCAGCTCAGGTCATGATCTTTCATGAGTTTGAGCCCCATCAGGCTCTGCACCAACAGTGCGGAACCTGCTTGGGATGACTCCCTCTTTCCCTCCCCTCCCCCACTCGTGCTGTCTCTGTCTCTCTCAAAGTAAATAAATACACTTAAAAAAATTTTTTTTGGTTCTTTCTCAATCTGCCTAAGATTATAAAGACCCTTCATTAGGAAGATCTGTTGTGCGACCTTAGAAAGCCAATCTGAATTTAAAAATGTAAATTCTTTCTTAGCGCCTTGAGCGTGGAATTCACATCCTAGGATAAGTAGGAAATGCCGAATTATTAATAGCTAGTTTTATTTCTCGCTGAGCCACACAATTCAGGAAATGGCAACTAGGTAAGTGTCAGCCCCTTGAGTGCTAAAGGCCAGGCTGACTCCCTTTGTGCCCCCAGGCAGGGCACTTTGCTGCTCTTGTTTGCTCAGCTTCCTTATAAAATAACAAATGAGAATAACTATCTATTGTGCCTAGGAATACTTCTTGTTGTTTTGTCATTTTTATTCGCATCATGTTATTTTAAACTATTTTGGAAAAAAGAAATCAGAAAATAATGTATGAACATGAAATTTATTTTTTCTCTTGGACAAAACAAAATATACGGTCCAGATTCCCTCAAAATAACTTTTCATTCTGATTATATTCCTCAGCTTGGTGGTAGTTAGTGTTTCATTGGGTTTGGTTTTGTTTCTTTAGAGATCAAATCAAGAGATGCCTGAGTGAAAGGCTAGTGTTATCATTTTATAATTTAGTGAATACTAAATACCCAAATACTTAATAGTCAGTTTCTAAAATATTTACAGCACATAGAGGAGTCACATAACTGATACTACAGAAATTTATTTTGTCTAATATAAAATCATTCTAAATGTTTCCTAAAATTCTTACACATATAGGTCAAAATAGGGAACTTCATGGTGGAAGAATACCGTTTTTGATACTGGGTGCCTGATTTACCCAGTAAGCAGTATGTTCTCTTGACAATATTTGAGCTTCTTTACTCTGACTTGAATGTTTTGCTCAGTTCTGAAGCCATTTTCTGGGACTAATTATTCATGCTAAGTTTTAACAGGCATTTTGGAAGAGTTTGGCTGCTGTAAAAACCTTCCAGAAACCACTCAGTAAGAACAATTTAAGCGCTTTGCAACCGATGATGTTGCTATTGTCTACACATTGAGGCCAGTATCCCAACAAAATCCCTTAATGTCAGCATATTCATAGTTGATTTGTCTGCCTAAAATTAGGATTAAGCTAGGCAGCTCACTAATAATGTATTTTCAGATAAATTAATCAAATTTACTAGGTTTGTTTTTTAACAGAGACTATTGCTTACAAGGATAGTCTAGAAAATATAATACATCACTTTTCATGGAACAACCAAACTGCTTTTTCTTCCCTTTTCCTCTCTGTTTTCTCTCTCTCTCTCTCTCTCTTTTTTTTTTTAAATTTTTTTTAATGTTTATTTATTTTTGAGACAGAGAGAGACAGAGCATGAACGGGGGAGGGGCAGAGAGAGAGGGAGACACAGAATCGGAAGCAGGCTCCAGGCTCTGAGCCATCAGCCTAGAGCCCGACGCGGGGCTCGAACTCACGGACAGTGAGATCGTGACCTGAGCTGAAGTCGGAGGCTTAACCGACTGATCCACCCAGGCGCCCCATCTCTCTCTCTTTTTTTAAGTTTACTTATTTATTTTAGAGAGAGAGAGAAGGAGAGTGAGAGGAGAGAGACAATCCCAAGTAGGCTCCCTCCCGACTGTCAGTGCAGAGCCCCATGTGGGGCTTGATCTCACAAACTAGGAGATCATGACCTGAGCTGAAATTGAGAGTTGGCCGCTTAACTGACTGAACCACCCAAGTGCCCCTGTTTTCTCTTTTCAAGAAATATCTTGAGAAGAAGATCCCAAAGGCAGTAGGACGGAGGCCATGGGTCCGGAAACCAGGAGACTGCAGGTGTCTGTCCCTCTGCTCCTCTAGATCGCTGTTTCCCTTTGGGCATATTACTTGGCCTCTCTGACCGCTGTTTTCACACCTGTAAAATAATATGGTCACGTTAGATGTTTAATTTTCTTTTTCTTTTTGACCTCAGATATTGTGATTTGAAGTGACACTTCTATATCAAAATTGAAATAGCAAAAAGTAGAAGGTACATTTAGGTGTTTCTATCAAAGACCCATTTTCTAAATGTGCTAGATTTGTCATTTCTGTTGTGGTTAGGTGTTATTTACTCCAGAACCCGAGCCCAGCCTGGTGCCAGCATACTGCTGGGTTGGTGCACTCTGCCCCGTTGTCTGGTCCTTTTCTAATCTGCTTTGAAGCACTTCTTCTCGTTTAGCATTTATTCACAGTTTTGGGGAGTACTAACTGTGTCCCAGACAATGTGGTAGGCACCGAGAGTATAAAGATAAGTAAGTCATGGCACTTGGGTTATCTGCAAAACAAGAGGTCATCAAGGAGGATGTCATGAATATGGAGCGGCAGGAATAGCAGCCATTCTCCTAAAACACTGCTGCACAAAGTTACTATTTTTTAATGCTTGTTTGTTCCTGAGAGAGAGACAGAGAGAGACAGAGAAAGAGACAGAGTACAAGTTGGGAGGGGGGGTGGGGCAGAGAGGGAGGGAGACACAGAATCTGAAGCAGGCTCCAGGCTCTGAGCTGTCAGCAGAGTCAGACACAGGGCTCAAACTCACAAACCTTGAGATCATGACCTGAGCTGAAGTCGGATGCTCAACCAACTGAGCCACCCAGGCACCCCCACAAAGTTATTTTTTAACAGTTGACATTTCTTACACTAATATTCAATAGGCACCTGTTTGCCAGGCACTCAATAGCAGGAGAAGAGCAGTGAACACAGTGATGTCCTGCTCTATGAAACTTACCTTCTCCTGTTGGGGAGGGCAGGAGGCATGGACAGATAACCAATTTATGATCAAGTAAATAAGTAACAGGTTCAATGGGAAAAGACCAGAGAAAAAGAAAGCAGGGTATGGGGGTTGAGGAGAGCAGGGCAGGGAAAGGCTTCATGGTCAGGTGTGAGGGAGACCACTGCAAACAGAAGGAAGTGTGGAGGCTGAGGCAGGACTGTGCCGGGCCCGTGCCCGGCTTGTTTGGGGGCAAATGGGGGCCCACTGTGCTGCACCCCTGTGGTGAGGGATGGGCACCAGAGGTGAGGTAGGAGATGCCATTTGGCCAGATGCTGTCGGCCTTCTGGGGCATTTATGTGAGGTAGGAAGGGCATTAGTGGGGTTTGAAACCAGAGGAAAGTGATACAAAGTATATTTTAATTCCAGTAAAGGTTTGGGGTGTCAGAGGTGCAAGTAAGGAGGCCCGTGGAAGATAATCCAGGTGAGAGATGGCTGTAGCTCAGACAATGGTAGCAGCAGTCAGATTCTAGTCTATTCCAAAATTGGAACTCACGGACTTTGCTGGTGGTGATGAGGAGGTGGGGTTGGGTGGGGGGAGGGAAAAAGACTGTAGTCACGAGTTCTTTTCTTTTTTAAAAAAAGTTTCCCTTCCCAAAAGGAAGGAATGGAACTGCCATCTTCTGAGTTTGGGAAGATGAAGAAAAGCAGGATTAGGGGGTAGAGATGCGCATTTGGGAAGTCAGTTTGGCCCAGGCCCCTTCCCCCGCCCCCTGCGCTGAACAGTTGGATAATGTGAGTCTAAAGTTGAAGGGAGAGGTTAGGGTTGGGAATTTAACTTTGGGAATGTAGACCTATATTGACTATAAGAAAGTCTTCATATGCTAGCGACAGCCCAAAAGACCAGTAAAGGAACAGTTGCACCCCACCCACACCCTGGTCAGCAGTGTTTGCCTTTCTCTATACATTGCATTCTGTTCCTGTCATCGATTACCATTTGGCTTCTACATCCACTCCCCCCCACCCCTTCTCGAGTCTTACTCTATTATTTCCTTCGTGTGCCTTTTATGTTAGATGAATTCTGTGGTCACTGGCGTGGTTTCAGGAATATGATGGTCATTATGATTTTGGTCTTCCCTCCCTATTTGTCTCTGGCTGCAGTAACTTTTTCATCATTAAAACATTTTAGCTGAGTTGCCTGAATACTTTCCAGTTCTGTGAAAACATTAAGCAAGTTGCTTTCTCTGTGAAGGTTTGTGAGAATGTGGTTACAGTGTGGCAGTTTAATCATAAGGCAGATGACAGTGATTCACCCGTGCTCCCTATGGTTCTATCGTCTTGACTGAGCGGTTTTGAACTCTTGTTTTGTTATTGTCCTCAACGATTTCTATAGATTGTTAAACCACCGCTCATTTCTCTTATCCCTTTATTAATATTTACATAAACTAGAGAGAAAATTAATCTCTTCTTTAAGGGTTTTTATTGTAAATCCCATTACAGTTTTTTGCTCCTTTCCTAGCTGATTTTATTCTTTTCAGACTCTCCCTTGGAGCATCTGGGTGACTCAGTCAGTTGAGCGTCCGACTTCAGCTCAGGTCATGCTCTCATGATCTCATGAATACAAACCCCTCATCAGGCTCTATGCTGACAGTGCAGAACCTGCCTGGGATTCTCCCTCTCCCTCTCTCTGCCCCTCCCAAAATAAATAAACCCCTCTCAAAATAAGTAAACTTAAAAAAAAAAAAA